GCAGCAGGGTTCTGACACGTTGGGGACCTCGAATCTTCAGTCAAATAAAATTCCACAGAAGACACCACGAGGCAGCTGTGCCTGGCCGGGCTCCCCCGACCCTTTCCAGCCCTGGGCACCACTCCCCAGTCACATCCCTGGGACTCTGTGGACAAGGTCCGGGTGCCCGACACAACAATAGCCCAATGGACGTCCTGGCACAGCGCAGACTTGGAAAAACTTCAGTGTTTCTTGACTGATCTTAAAGTGCACGAAAGCAACACTGGCTTCACATACGGTAGTGGTATAAGGCTTCACTTGTTAAATTGTTTACATGAAAAGTGAATTTAAGGGACAGTGGTGATTACGTGGTTCACAAACATTGCAAAATACAGTGTTCACAAAAGCGACAGACAGAGCCGGCCTATGGGAAATGTGGAAAGGTCTGAAGGGGGGGGAGGTCGGGGGTCAGACATTGGACCTGCAGTAAGGGCAGCTGGGAGCAGGTTGGAAATGTGCATCCCGGGCCCCATTCTGGTCCTGCTGAAGCAGGAGCTGTGACAAGACCACAAGGAATTTGAGGGTCACTGGTGCTGGAGGAGCACTTATAAGGGGTTTTGTAGCTGCTAGAGTGTATGAGAGTCCCAGGTTTCAGGAAGAGGTGATGGGGCCCTCACTCCTTCCTCTCCAGCACCTTAGACACGCACACACAGGCGTGGCTGTGCAGGTGTGCGCACATCGGGGTGCATGCCTTCACCGATGCACATATACCCGGGCCCACACACTCCACCTGGGCAAGGGTGCCCCAGTCTTGGGAGGACTCTCCTTTTCTGAGCTAGGCCAGTCCCCCACAATCCCCACTACCTCTGTAGAACCCCCTGGTGGCTCCTATTTGCACTGTGAGACTCTGTGCTTCCAGGAGACAGTGATCACATGATTTGCTCAGCAGGGAGGTGAGAGCAGTCACACCCACGGATTTTGCCTCAAGTCCCAGAGCCTAGCAGATGCCTGGCACATAGTAGGTGGACAGTAAATACTTGAACGTCTGAAGAAACCTCCCGTCACCTGCTCTCCCAGAGTTGGTGATGGTGGAACAGTCGAGATTCTGCAGCAGGCCTTTCACGCATCACCTGGCCTTAACTGGGACTCAGCCCTGTGCCTGGCGTTTGGAAAAAGAAGATGAATAAGACCTGACAGCAGCCCCAGCCCAGAGGGGACATGTCCCTCACGCTGCTTATGACAAGACAGCCCTGTGAGTGTCAGAAACCAGAGAGGCCCTGGCTGGCGGGCGGGGAGAGGGAGTGCTGAGCGCTGTGTCCTGGCTGTGACCAGGTGCTGAGGCTTCTTCAAGAGGGTAACATTTTAAAACTGGTGGCTTTCTCCTAGGTCAAGAAGGGAAGAGGTGTTTCTGCCAGAGGGGAGTGCTGAGAAATATAAATCTGTGAGCATTTTCCTGAAGGTGAAAAGTCTAACTTCTCTGACAGCCTAGGTGAGCAAGGGTCAAATTCCTCCTGGTTTTACAGACCAGGCACAGGAGTTTGGACTTTATCTTGTGGGGAACAGGAAGCCACTTTGTTAACTAACACAGGGGGGCCTGGAGTGAGTGCGCTGCACAGCTCTAGTTGGGGGTGAGGGTAGAAATGAGGGCTGCTGGCCTGTGACCCATACCCAGACAACAGTCAGCCGGCTGCTGTCTCCACCTTCCTCCTGAAGACAGATAGCTCTGGTTTGCTGACTTTCCATTCTCCGGAGCTGGGTCCCGACTGGCATGTGACACAGAGAGACAGCACAAGCTTGTCTCTAGGGAGATTTCTTCATACTGGAGGCCCCAGGGAGCATCCACGCCAGGCTGGCTCAGCTCTGCTGAGAAACCTGCGGCCCCAGACTCCTCTGAGGGCTGAATGCCATCCCTTGCCTCTGCCACTCAGAGCAGCCTCCCAGTCCCAGCGCCGGGGTGCCACATCCTACCGGCTGTGCGTGCATGCCAACCGGAACATCTTCAGGAGACGTGTAAGCCTATTGTTAAACAACCACTATGTAAAGCTTGGTTATATAAACTAATGAATAAGTGATTTAACACAGAGGTCACATTCAAAGCCCCACACCCTGATGATTACCCTCAGAGTTATCAGCTGCTCTTGTATGATGGAACTGATATGCCTACTGCACGCTGCTCCAACGCCACGCCACACTGTTGGCCTTGCACCGGACACGGTGGGAGTGTGCACCCCCCACACATCAGCAAATCTACCAAATCAGAGTGTTTGCTGCAGAGAACCAGTGGTTAAGCTTCTGCCAGCCCACCCCCACCCCCGCCCACCCCACCCTTGCTTTGCAAGCTCACTGGGGACCGGCACCCCCTCCTCAAGCCTGCTCTTTCCTCTTCAGCAGCCACAGCAGCACAATGGTCTGTCCGATTAGCCTATCAGATGGTGTCAGGCAGGGGCGGAACCGCAGCGGGAGCCGGCGCCTGGCCCTCTTGCTCTCCTTAGGCCGTCTTAGAACTATCTGGGGATGTCTCCTTGAGCTGCCCACAGCCCCACCCAGGGCCTCACACCCTGGGCAGCCTCCCTTCGAGTCTGAGGGGCTAGGGCCTAATCCTGGGAGTGAGGAGTGCGTCCACATCAAGCCAACACACACCAAACTGCCTCTTATTCCAGAGGATAGGCAGCTATTCCGAGCCTCTCTCCAAGGCACCGGTGCCAGAGATGCTGGGACAGTTACACGAATAGAAGTATACATGCCGGGCAGCTAGGTGGGGAAAAAAAAACTAAAGGAAAAGATTGGGAAGTTGGACTTCATTAAAATGTAGAACTTCTATTAGTCAGAAAACACACCGATAGAATACAAAGGCAACCTACTGACCAAGGGAAGAAATTGCTAATACATAAAACTGACAGCTCACATCCAGGACATATAAAGAGCTACAAGTCAGTAGATAGGCAAGTCAATGAAAGCTTGCCAAGAAACCTAAACAGGCACTGCTTGAAAGGGTTTATTCAAATGACACAGTTAGCCTGGGGGAAGGTGTGTGGCCTTATTAGTCATTAGGGAAATTAAACTCAAAACCACAATGAACTATCACTACCCACCCACAAGACCCAGTAGAACTTTACACACTGAATGACAGTGTTGATGGAGATGCAAAGCATAGTGAAACTCTCATGGGAGAGTGGCGGGGTCTGAACTCTCAGGGAAATAGTTTGACAACAGCTACACAGCTACTAATAGTTAATGGTCCAGAAGCTCAACAGCTACATGCCCTGTGGCCCCACAAGCAGTATAATCTACTCACCCAAGGGCATAAACTTAGAATGGTCCCTACAGCTTTATCCATACAGCTTTATCCCCAACTGGGAGATGACACCAAGGTCCATCAGTCATAAACACATTCACATCATGGAATACTATGCAGCAATGAGGAAGAACAACCTACAGTCTGCCCTACCTTGACTCAGCCCCACAATGGTAAGCCACCAGACTCGTATACAAAAGAGCAGAGACTGGGTATGTTGGGTTTTGGAAAGGTCAACATGGTCAAAACTAACCATGGTGGTAGAAATCAGGAATGTGGGTTCCTTTGGGGAGGAAGCGAAGGGTAATAGGAAAAACACTTTCTATTATCTGAAGTTCAGAAATCAAAGTAGTTTCTCCTGCTGGATTTCAGGCTTGTTCTGCTTTGCTCTCTGGAGATAAAGTTCAAGGACTGGTATGTCTGCCTTCTTTACTCCCCACCCCTTCCTCTTCTGCCAGCAGCCAGGCAGGAATTGCAGGGAAAGCAGCTAGGGACTGTCCTAGAGGACTGATTTCATGTGGACTTCAAGTGAGATTTCCATTAGCAATTCTACTTTTTATCTTTTTTTAGCTCTATGCATTTTTTTGATGAAGCCTTTTCTTAGCTCTTACTATGAATTGTTCAAATTGTGTCATGAATACCAACTTATTGAATGTGTTATTCATTCATTCAGCCTATTGGGGACTTACAGTAATAATGGCCTCTTTAATAAGCAGGTATTATGTGCCAGGTAGTAAGTAAAGTTCCTAATCAATTCTCACATGATTCCTTGGGAGGAGAATAGGTTTGACCCCACTACAGATGAGGAAACAAAGGCTCAGATAGGTTGAGTGATGCAGCCAAAGCCACACAGCTAAGTCAGTGGCAGAGCTCACATTCAAAGTCGGATCTTGCATTACTCCAAAGCTAAGTTATCAAGCCTAGTGACCACCTTGGACCAAATCACCACACAAGACTGGTAGAAATGTGAACTTTATAAGGCCCCAGCTTGAGCTTCGTGATTCAGAATCTCTGGCCCCTAGGGTGGCCTGGGCAGTAGAGTTAACACAGCAGTTGCTCAAACCCTGGGCGCTGGTCCACCTGACACTGCCCAGCCAGACTCCGCGGACACACAGGAGGCACACCAGTCAGTCTCTGGATGGAGGGAAATGGGGCTCCCTCTTCCTCCAGATGTGTGGGGGTCCCCTCCCTACCTTCTGGTCTCTGAACAAGTGTCATGTCAAAGAAACTCTCTGACCAGCCCATGCACACCCTCTCCCCCAGAGGCGGTAACCTCTGCTGACTTTGGTTTTCTCCAACTAGGACTAACCATGCAAAGTATCCTTTCTGTAGGTCAAAAATAGTTAAAAATGGGACATTTGACCCAGCCCAACTTCAGGCATTTCCAGTGTCAGCTCCAGGAGGTTCGGATATGTTCCTGCCATACCCCTGTCCTGAGACAAAGCCCGGTACATAGTATGCACCAATAAATGATGGGTAGGTGGTTGAGGGCACCTGGTCACGCCCAGGAGCTCTGCAGCCAACACACAGGCCCGACGTCCAGCGCAGAGACCCGGCACCGCCCAGGACCTGGTAATCTCGGGCGCCTTCCCGGTCGCGGCGGCCAGGCGGGGTGGGGCTCACCGTCATCCATTTACCAGCCTCGCCCCTCCGACAGGCGCGCCGTTAATGAGATTAGCAATTAAAAAGCGGGCGGGCGGCCGCGACGGAGGTGCGGGGCCACCCCCAGGCCGAGCCGGGCGGGACGGCGAACCTGGAGGCCGGGCACCGAGGCAACTGTGCGCGGCGCTCGAGCCGGAGCCGAGCGCTCGGAGGTCCGGGGCCATGGAGAAAGCGCGGCCGCTGTGGGCCAACCCGCTGCAGTTCGTGTTCGCCTGCATCTCCTACGCCGTGGGCCTGGGCAACGTGTGGCGCTTCCCCTACCTGTGCCAGATGTACGGCGGAGGTGAGTGCGGGCGCCCGGCGGCGCGGCGCGGGCCGCGCTTCCCGCCGGGACCCAGGCGCTGTCGGAGCAGACCGGCAGCCAGTCCTGGCGCCCGGGCTGCGCCGCCGGGTGGGGTCCGCGTTCCAGGCTGGTAAACTGGGACTCGGGAAAGTAAGTGGTTTGCCCCAAGTACAGGACATCTCAGTCCGGCCGGAGCGCTTACCCAAAGGTGCCCGCTGACGCCCTGGCAGTCCCCGACCCCAGCCCGGAGGATACTGAGCCTCCTGCCAGGTGTGGCGGAGCTCCGGGCTCAGGACCAGCGGGTGCAGGCGGGGGACACCCGCTCGCTCCCCCGGAGAGTGGGCTGTGATCTGACCTCTAGAGCGTGAATGTTACATTTAGCGTAAATGTGACATATAAGTGTAAAAAAGGGACGTTACAGTTAAGTGTAAAAAGTGAGCAGGAAATTGTCTTGTTCCACAGAGCCTGGTTTTCCAACTTTCAGAACTAGAACTTTTATTTTCATCAGCACAATTTGAAACTCAGGTTTAAAAGGCTCCTGAGCCATTCCTTTTCGTTTTTTATTAAAAGGTTGGTCTGGATTTGGAACCACAGAAAGCAGAAAGGCAGATCAATCTGGGGAGAAGTTTTTCTTTTTGTTGTTCAAATATTCCCTCTGCAGTCTCACAGCACACACTCCAGCTAGCCAGGCAGCAGCCCCCACACACCCCTAAACGTTAGAGCTGGGCTCTCCCTGACTTGGCAGGAGCCGCTGTGAAGGCCAGGTGCCTTTAGGGAAGGCAGTGTGGCCGTAGGCATTGAGGTGGCAGCATTCATGTTTTTCTCACTTGTTCCATTTCTAGAATTCTACTAATAGGAATAATCAGAGTTGTGACAGAGGTGGGAACAGAAGGGGCTTCATCTTCTCACTGGAGTAAACACTGGACGCTTCCTAAGCTCTCAGCTAAGGAGATTGTTCAAGAAAGTTTGGACCAACCAAACCGGGGTGCTTTTTGCAGTCACTCAGGGGGTGTTCTCAAGCAGTTTATATAAAGATAAAATGGAGGGAGTAATATATTAAATGGGGGGAGGAGGAATCAGTTTCAAAACTGTAAAAGATGAATGATCTTGATTATGTTTTAAAATATATTTATTTTTTATATATTATATTTATATATGTATTTCTCCAGAAGAGACTGGAAAAAAATACATGCCTGTGTTAATAGTTATGTCTGGGGGGGGTTTGTTTACCTTGAAGCGTGTGTGTGAGTGCATGCATGTGTGTGTGTGCTGTCTTCTATAATAGACAGAAATGTTTCCTTCCCCGTGAAGAACCATGGAAAACGTTAGACCCACGTATTTACAAAATGGAGCCCATTTAATAAGACCAAGACCTAAAACACTCCCCTCACTGACACCAGTTCAAAAAACATTGGGGGAAAATGCTAACCCACAGAATTCTTTTAATAGTGTATTCTTAATTCTCTGACGCCTTTTTTTATTATTTGAAGGGCATAAATACATCCTAATTATGTGAAGGGAGTGTGTTGCCATATGCTCTAACAGCTTCAGAGCTGATTTTGAAAGAATTATTGTCAGGATGACATTTCCACGTCACTCTGTTCCGCACACCTACCTACTGTGACACCTTTATCCTGGCTACGAGTTTTCCAACCAAGGCCAGGTAAGCCTTGCTGCCATGTGACTATTTAATTCCTTGTTTCTCACAACACCATTATCTGAATAGTCTGCAGGTGGACACAGGGGAAGAGTGGTAGTTCTGAAGTAGGCAATAGGAAAGGAGTTGCTGGAGAAACCACAAGCCCTTCGGGACTCAGAAGGAAGAAAGAAGTATCAGACTGGAAGGGGGATGGGTAGACAGGTGGCTGATGGTTGAGACACACATGGACACTGGTGAGAGCTGGACTGGGGCATGGTGGGTGGGTAGGTGGAGGGATGGAGGTGAATGGGTGTCGCTGAACAGATGGCATCCTCTCAGGCGAAGATGTCTCAGAATAAAGACCAAGCAGACTCTCCTGGCACAGCAAAGACTGGACCACCTAACACCTGCCCCTATTTCTATTCCATTTCCTGCCATTCATCTTCCAACGTGCCCGCTACTTTTCTGAACAACCCTGTCGCTGACTGCCTACTGCCCCCCTCTACACTTTGCCCGGCCTATGTCCTCACCTGGGATGCCCTGCTAGCCAGGAACCTCCCATTCGTCTCTGCAGGCCTGGCCAAGGGCTCTCTTCCCCAGTCGCTCTCCCGGACTGTCCCCTCCGCCTGGCAGACCAAGCAGCACCTGCCAGAAGGACCTCACACGCGTTGTTCAAGAGCCGCTCTGTCTCCCCCTCCCCCACCGCTAGGAAGTGGCAGGACTGGAGGGTGCTCCCAACAAATCTGTCAGGTGAATGGACCAGGGCTCTCAGCAAAGCCTAGGGGCTCTGGAGTCGGGGCGCTGGAAGTGTTCCGAGCTTGCTGTTCTGGGGTGCCCAGATTGGTAAGTGCTATGCTGCACTTTTGCAGATGCATTCTGCCTTTCAACTAAAGGGTGAACCAACCACATCATGCAAAGCTCCAAAGGGACGTATAACTTCCTCCAAAACAGAGCCAAGACCCGCCACCCCACAAACAAAGAGGCTGTTATAAAGTCCCAGACCACGGGTGCCGAAATGCTTCCCATAATAACACGGATTAGGGGCCTGGGCTCCTTCCCTTGGGGCCCTGCCCTGCCGGGATGCCTGTTGCCTTCCTCCTCTCAGGCCAGGCCCACAGGAGGAATGTTAATTCAGGAGATTACATTCCAGGTACCAGCCGCCTCGGTGTAGCCCGTGGCTCCAAAGAACAGAAAAGGCGGCCAAGGAAAAGCACAAGGTCGCTTGAAAACATGCAGTAGGTCTTGGTGACGCGTTCAGGACAGCAGTTGTTGTGCAAGAACAAACTGGGATGCAAATGAACTGTACACTAACATGTAGAAGAAAAAGGCAGCGGCTGAATTTGCCGATGTATTGATTTTGATTATAAACATGCTCCAACCATGGAAGAAACATGGAGAAATGAGGATAGTTGTGTGGCAGGTGGAAATTTGGAATTCTCTTCTCCTAACTTCCCTCTGTGTCATATCATGAAGAGGAAGACGGTGCTGCCTCACTGGCCGGTCATCTCCCCTCGTGGCCCCTCCTGCCCTTCTCTGGGGCATCAGCGCTGCCTGTCAAGCGTCGGCCTCCCTGGGACCTTACAAACCACACATCTCTGGACCCCAGCCCCGCCAACGCTGACTCAGACCTGCGGGGAGGGCAGGACTTGCCTTCCTGACCCCCGCCTGAAGGCACCCCCACCACCTAGCACCACACTTTTGAGGCAGCCCCACCTCCATACCTGCCCAGGTGCGGGGAGCCCAGAAGTGGGTGCTGGGCAATGTTGATGGCTTTGGGAGGGCAGCAGGAACTGACGCCTAGCACCTGCTGTAACTGTGGTGTCAACGGTACCAGTTCACACCCGCAGCGTGCCCCACAGTGGGCTGGGAGGAAAGAGGCTGCTCTGAGGCTTCCCTGCCACCCTCAGAGCTGCAGCCTCCTGCCAGGTCAGTCCATGGTGGGGGGGGGGAGTGGCATCACAACTGCTACTCACTTATACTGTGTGTGTGTGTGTGTGTGTACATGTGTCTGACTTGCAGTGTTAACAGTGGGACAGGAACCTGCATTTCAAAGGTTATAAAGTATTAAACACATGCTTCCCAAAGTAAACTCAAAATACGGGGTCCCAGCCCCCAGGAAATGTGGCCATGGGTTCCCAGGCCAGCACCAGCTCTGCTGAGGCTTCTAGGCTCAATCTCGGTAACAGCCAGGCCGCGCGTGAACAGGGGCCCCGGCGTGTACAGCAGGCACAGTGGGAAGCATTTCTGCAGGTTTTCTATTGGCTCTTCGTGGTGTTCTCGGGGTCATTCCGCACCCTCAATTTAGAGATAAAACAAGGTCAGAGAAGAAAGGTTTCTGGAGGATTGGGAGGCCCCAAACCCCATCTGCGCCTATGCCTCAACTCTGCAGGCTCCAGGCTTCTGCCTCACCTGGTAAAGGCAGGACTAGCATCCCTGCTGGCCGAAGTGACTCAGAGCTGCAGGGCCCAAGGCACCCTCAGCTTCACCCTGCTAAGCGCCTGTGCCTGCAAAGCCACCTCCTGAGAATCCCTCCTGTCCCTGGTCCCGCCTCCTCCAGCCTCTGCCCTTCCCCAAACGCTAGTCTCCTCCCTCTGCCAGGTGCAACACCTGCTAGTCACCCTCCCAGGGATCCTCCTCCCTAAATTAAAGGAACTTGCACCCCAGGCTCCTCCCTCACTGAGCCACAGCTGGCGCAGTCTGAGTAGACTCAGCCTGCCCCAGGCAAGAGGGCTTGGAGCTCAGAGCAGCAGGGGTGCCTGAGTCCCACCTCAGAAATCTGACTGGCTTGGCCTCCCGGGTGGCCTGAATAATAAGCATTTCACAGCTCCCCAGGGGATCCTACTGTGCACCCAGGTAAGAATCATCTCCTCCTCCCCCCCACCCCCCAGATCCCTTTTCAAATAGAGTGTAGAAACATCAAATGACATCAGCCTTCCAGGGGCTTCACTTTAGTCACTCAGGAAAGTCACTGAGTGCCGAAGCCAGTGGGGTGCGGGACATTTACAAAGGCGGTGAGAGCCTTAAAGTGCAGGGACTCTAGGAAACTTTTCCACACAGAACAGGAGGGACTTTAACAGGGGGCTGTTCGGAGGCTTCACTCAAGTCATTCAAGAAGGACGTGGACCCAAGGAACCCAGGAAGGCCGCCAGCAGGAGCAGCATTCACACTAGGCCTCCACAGAGGAGTCAAGCCCCTCAGCTAGGCTCAGGAGCACGGCATTCCAGGCGGAAGCACACCATGTGCCCCGGAAGGAGATGGCTGGAGCTGTGGCCATGATTTGGCGCCAAGCACCCCAGCAAAACCGGGGGGACAGGAACCTGGAGGTGAGGAAGGCCCCCAGGGATCCCAGCTGATGGGTCTT